TCAAATGTAGGGTTTGTTTGTTTGATTTTGGGTGGTCCTATGTGGAGCCAGGAGTTGGACTTGATCCTTGTGGGCCTCTTTCAACTTGGGGTATTCTGTGTTCTTTGTTGGCTTAGCCACCTGGTGAGGGATGGAGCTGTAGTCACAGAGCAGGGGAAGTGCATGCTGTACAGTTTCTTGACACTCTGTAAGCAGCAGTGGCCTAAAGGCATCGCTCTATTAACCACTCTAATTGTTTGAGCGGGTTTCAGAGCAGAGACAAACTCTTCTGTGTGGATGGGGTCCCTCCTTCCCTCTCTTTTGTGAACATGCAGGGACTACCAGCACCCAGCTTCCAAGAGGATTTGGTCAACAGAGCAGCATGTTAACAGATCCTTAATTCTGTCCCCTCTGTCCTCTCAGTGCACATAGTGAGCTGAAACACAGTATGCAGGTGATGTGTGCGTGTGATGACCTCTATGTCCTGGGAGAAGTGAATCAAGAGTGTAGGAAAACTGCTGTCCTTTAGAACATGGATGTGACCACAGCCTGAATTCAGACATTCCCTGTTACTCATTGCTCCCATTAAAAGGTAGGAAGCAGTCTTGAGGAATTCCAAATTTTTACATTGAGAACTTTCTGGTGTGTGATCTACGTTGAAACATTAAGTTCGTACATTTAGGGTACTTCTCTGTTTGATGCAAACTCTGCTTTGGAGCCAAGGCTTAGAGAGAAAAGAGATACTGTTTGCATGTGCAACACGTGGTGTAAACAATTTCTTCACTTGAGATAAGAGTAAATTTGCATGTGAGATTTGGGATGCTGGAGAAGACTTTGGATAGCCCATGAACTAGTGCAGCTGGCTGCAGCGCTGTGCTGGATATACTGCAGCCAAGTGACAGGCACAGCGCTCACAAGCAGCTGGCAGGAGATAATGCCCAGAGAATGTGTTTGCAAACAGTAAACACGCTGAGTGCCCGAACCGACTTATTATCTAGTCTGCTGCCACTTCAGGTTTTATATACCAATTATTGATTTTAGGTTACAGTGTCAGAGAAAATGCTGTTCTGTTTTTAACATGTGTGACCTCAGAGGTCTTAAACAGCATACAGCTATACAAGCCATACTTAGCAGTAGTTTAAACAGTTAGTTATTATTATTATTATTAGATTTCCCAAGAGATTATTGCTATTGCTGTCTGTAGGCTGTGATTTACAATAGGGTAATCAACTGAAAAGACTGCATTCAGTACGGCTTCTCAGACAGTAGAAAACCGAGCCAAGCAACACTTACAGATATCAAATGGACTTCAGTGATTTACTGCATGATGTATTACTCTGTTGAAGCCCACCCACCCAGCAGAGAAAAAGTGGTTTGTAATTGCGACACACACACTAAAATGAGGGAAGTAATGGATTTCTTCAAATTCTAGTAATAGCTGTATCACCATCCTGGGGCGACTGAACTGTTTAGAAGTAATGCAGAATACTGCTTGACTGTTCTTGGTTAACAGAGCACAAAGTCAGTTGTCAGTTGTTTTTATTTTTCCTGGAACCTAACATCGTCTGTAAGGCTTCTTCCCCGAAGTGTTTCAGAATGAAAAAGCTATGTGCTATTTTGTCTGGGTACATAAACCACGTACAGTAGAGGCAATTTTAAGTTTTCTAGAAATAAATTACTGTTGGATTAATTTACTACCTTACATCTTCAGGAAAAAAAAAATTATGCAGTGAGTGTGAGCTTTATTCTTAATAGAAGGGATTTACTAAAGCTTTTTAATCTTATGCTAGTTCATTTATACTTTGATATTTTTCATTATTAAGAAGTCATGGAGTCATTAAAGTTGGGAAAGACCACTAAGATCATCTAGTCTAACCACCAACCCACGCCCACTGACCATGTCCTGCAGTGCCACATCCACACAGTTCTTGAATACCTCCATGGACGGTGACTTCACCATCTCCTTGGGCAGCCTGTTCCACTGTCTCATCTCATCACTCTTTCAAAGAAGTTTTTCCAAATATCCAAACAGAACCTCCCCTGGCACAACTGAAGGCCATTACTTTTCATCCTGTCACCATTACCTGGGAGAAGAGGGTCAGTAGTCCCTCACCAAACCTCCTTTCAGGTAGCTGCAGAGAACAATAAGGTCTCTCCGGAGCCTCCTCTTGTCCAGACTAAGCAATTCCAGTTCCCTCAGCCCTTCCTTATAAGACTTGTCCTCCAGGCCACCCATAGCTTTGTTGCCCTGCTCTGGACACACTCCAATGCCTCAACGCCTTTCTTGTAGTGAGGGACCCAAAACTGAACGCAGAACTCAAGGTGCAGCCTCGCCAGTGCAGAGCCCTCTGCTTTGCACTTACTTTAGTCACCTTGTGCTGTAAGAGCTTTGAGACTTGCTGGTCTCCGTCAAAAAAGATGAAGGCATGTCTCCCTGCACACACCTGCTACTCTTATCTGTGAAAGACTATATGGAGCAATGCTATGGGGTTCTGCAATGCTTCCAGAAGAGAAAATGGGAATATGGGACAGTGAAACAGCAGGGCTCCAAAATGAGCCCTAAACCTCTAAATTGCACTTTGGTGATCTTCAGGATATGGGGCTAAGGCAGGGGAAAAGGCAGAGGCAGGGAGCTTTCAAGCGCAGAACTGCTGTACAGACTAGCAGGGAAGCAGCAAGGAAGGAGCCGAGGCAATCCTCCTCTCCCATCTGGAAAGGGATGGGAAGGGTGGAGGCAGCAGCCACGGCTGCTGGGGAAGCTGCTGCTCTCAGCTGTCTGCAGCACACGCCTTCCCTCTGGAAATGCTACTGCCAGCATCGCTGCCCCACAAACTGCAGGCTGAAGCCATCCACGTCTGTAGTATGTAGCATACCCAGGTGATACTTTCTAGGCAGTAATATCTGTACATCAGCAGATTGGTCACTGCTGTGACTGCTGGCTTTTTCACTTTACACGTGTGTCAGCAGGATTTGTCGAAACATATTTTCCCAATGTCTGAAATGGTATTTGTCATTGCTTGTCATTTTGAATGTCTTTCTTTAGTCTTCTCTGCAATTTAAATTCAGTTTCTTTCATTTATGTCCTGGAATTACTTTTAAATATAAATGCACGTCTCAATTTTCACTTCTTCTGAGGCTGACAATAATACATACTTCAAAAATAGTCTGTAGCAGAGTAGCTCTTCACTTATCCATATTTTCTGCCTTGTACAGCAATGCTGCTGTTGCGCAGTTCTCTCCCAGAAGCCACTGATGAGAGCAGCAGCCCAACAACTATTCCCAAAAAGAACTTAGTTGGACTGATCAACACATTGGCTACTGGATCTTTTCTGTTCTCACTTTCCTGCTCAAACAAATACCTTTTAACTGCTGCACATAGTAAACTGCTGTTGATCAGTGTAAAATTGCATGGTTTCAGTGGCTGACTTTAAACGAATACTGCACAGTAAGTGGAGTGCTGCATACCAAGAAAAGAGGGTCTGCAGCAAACAAAGTTAAAAACAAGGAGTGAGATGGGAATCCAGTAGCCATGGCATGGCTAGAAAGCACTGAGGAGTCGATAACGTTTTTGCCAAACCTAAGAGCCACGTTTACTTATGTGATGCCAATTCATCAAGGCACTTAGGTTTTGAAAATGGATTGCATGAAGACCGTTCAGTAGAAATTAGCTGAGAAAAGTAACACTTTTGCATTCAGTGCAGGAGTGCCTGAAACACTTCTGACAGGGAGGGAGCCTGTGCTCCTAAACAGTCATTCTCAAAGAATGCTGAAAATATTTGTGGGAGAGAATAAGCTGGTGAAATCTCATTTTCTAAGCTGGTGTCTGTTTACTTAAAGCAGAAGTGATCTTAGAGCAGTTCTGCGTTTGCTTTTCATATTAATGTTAAGCTTATCTTATAAACTTATCTTCTATTAAAATAGCCATTATAAAACTCAAATGCAAAGAGAATGTGGCTTGGATGCCTACTGGCATGAAGGAAAATATCCTGTCCTATTATTTTTTGTTCTGTGATACAGTTGCAGCATTATCTGGTATCCAGATCTTTGACAGATCTATTGTAAGCATGTCAAAGACTTTTCAAATTATTTTGTTGTTGTAAATATTAGATCACCAAAAACAAGGAATGAGTCCCACATACATTCACTGAACAATGTACCCCATTGTTAAGCTATTTTTCCTGTTTTAGAGTTGAGATTAAACTACTGTTATTTATTCTTTCAATGAGAAAACGTCTGTTCCAATAATTATCATTGCTATAGAAATGTGCATTGAAGATGCAGTTTAGACACTAACTAGTCCCCATGTGTGCTCCTTGTGCCCTCCAAGAAGGGACCTGCATAATGTCACGATGTCCATGATGGAACTTGGATGAAGTAAGGACTGCCCGCGTCCCCCCCAGCTTAGTTTCAGGAAATCATGATTGTTTCTGATGTCAGCAAGTACTTGTCAGCCCCCAGCAAGAGGCTGAGCTCTCCTTCCTTCTCCTTTCTCTGACCTTCAGTTGCTCTCACGTACTCTCCTGTTACTTCAGAGTGCAAAGGTCAGTGCCCTCATCTAGGAGGTCCTGCCTTGCTGAAGACTATCTGAGTGCCAGAATGCTGCTGGCAGAGGAATTCCTGCTATTATTGCATCCTTTCCTAAAAAGTTTGGGAAATAAGTACTTTTTCTGTACTGATTAGTAATAATAATGGACCAACTAGCAGAGGCAAAACAGTTGAGTTGGGAAGGAAGCACTCAAAAAATACCGAGTGTCACAACTAAGAGTTTCCTGGTGATGTGGCTTGAGTCTATTATACATACTCATAAAGATATTTTAAATGACTTTGAGTCCACCTTTATGTATGCTGACTGTTCTTCAATGAAGCTTCAATGTGAAGCTGTTCACAGTGCTGTGTACCATAAGCATTCATCCCAATAGCAGCACTTAGCTGGTATGTTAACTTGGATTTTTACAGGTGGGATGAGCTTCTTCATAGCCAAATGGAAAGCACATCTGCAAGGCAGGTCTTGGAAGCTGGAATGTCTTGGAACTTTTTCCTTTATTTAACTGGCTGTTTATTCTTCTGAGCCAGATCAGTACTTTATAAATAGAGTGGGAATGAAACCCTGTCTCTAAAGAAATTACATATAACTTGGACATTATGGTGCCGATCCATGTCCTTAAGGTCTTAAGTTACCCTGGCCACCAAACCAGATTGCTTACAAAATGGAAAAGTAACAAATGTAAGTATTTGTCAGAATTAAATCCACATGTTCATTCAAATCCGTGTCATCAACAACTTCCAGATGTAAATATCAATGGAGAGTTTGAAGGAACCTCAATCCTGCAGGCAGTCTCTGTCATAATTCTCAAACCTAGCACCGTTTCAGAGGTGACACACAGTAATACTTGGTCTTTTCAGGAAACAATGCTCGTTGCTTTCCTTAGAGCCAGGTATCCTGTAACCACATCTGAAGGCAGCATCCGAATATAGGCAAATTCTTCAATAGTACTAAATCTCAGCTTGCTCTGGGGATCTGTGTAATTTGCCTGGAAAAGAAACAGTGGAGAAGATAGTGTTCAGATAAAATCTCTAATCAAAATACTCTAATAAAACACATAATTATGAGACCAGAAATTACTGACTTCCTTTTTTTTAGTAACAGTGCTGCTATTCTAGCATGTGACCAAAAGTTTGTATGTTTTCTTCCTCATGTCAAAATTTATGAGGAGTTAACTAACCCTATAAAGTCACATTAGAAAAGCTTTAAACATCATAGAGGGCTGGAACAGTCTCATCCAAAACACTGCAAAAGAAATTCCCCAACTCTCTAAACTCACCCTAGCAACTCTGTGCCTTGTGCAGTCTCTCCCAAGGCAGCTCTCCAAACAATCAGGCTGCTGCCAGCAAATTGCCCAACAAAGAGGCTGAATTATGGGTGCTTGGATAGCTTTGGACTGATTTTTCTCTTCCTCCATACAACTTAGCTTTTAATTTACTTTAAAGTGGTTGCTAAAGCAAGAGAGTCTCAGCTTATGGTGCTGTGACTGAACTGATAAGAAATTTGAACTCCACTCTTTGCTTTGCTGCAGTCATCTGTTTTCAGGATAGAGCCTGGCCAGCTAGCCTTGGGCTCACATCCTCTGCTGTATTTGGGTCTCGAGTGCCTGGGAGCGGTGCCAATCTCATTCCATCCTCTCCCCTTCCCTGTCGCTACAGAAACCCTGAGCTCCTATGGACTCAGAGCAGCACAGGAGGCCGGGCTGGAGGATGGTAGGCTTGAAGGTACTCTCTCTCCACCTTCAGACTCCAAGACAGCAGCGACATGTTACCATTATATTCCAAAGTGCCAGTGCCCCGCAAGTGTCCTGTGCTCCTTTCCTCAGTGGGAGTTGGTGGTGAGGCACAGGCAGCTGAAGTCTCTTGAGACGCTGCTACTGAAGCCGAAAAGGCCAGGAAGGCACAAAGTGTTACAGTGTTACAGCACACAGCCTTCCACCAGTTTTACGATGGAAAGGATATGTTGAGCGTGGAACAATTCACGTAATCGTCTGGCCTGATAAGGCTTAGCAGAAAATGAGGTGTTATTTGTAGCATGTCTTGTTACAAAGAAATGCTATAAGGTTAATTAAACGTAGGCAGCTAGCAGGCAAGCCATCAATTCATCTCCAGACAAATGGCAAAGTTAGGACATTAGAAGTAAATTTATTCCTGGTGGTAACTTTATGGCTATAGCAGGTGTTAATTTACTTTTATTTCACATTTTAAATTTGGCCTTAGGTATCTAAAGAAAAGCTAAGCAAGCAGGCTGCTTCTCCAAAGTGCAAGACTCTGTAATAGACTGGCCAAACTATATCTGTAGTTTGTGTTGCACATCAACCAATGTTAAAATTATGGCATTCCTTCACCATTCTTATACTTCACACTGGGCTGCACTGCTTGCACGCGTTAACATGACGTATGCGTAGTTTGGCACCTAACATACAGTAAGTGTCACTAACTTAACCCAGTGCTTCAGCAAAAGCTACAAGGCAATAGCAAAGTGAAGAGGATTTTACAGAGACAGAACTCTGCTGTACTTTAAAGTTAAGTCAAAGACCACAAATATGTGCTCTTCAAATACAATAAATTATCTTGATCTGTTTCTATAGTAAAAAGGAAGAGATGTTCAAATATTTGAAGTTTTTAAAATCTGCTCTACATTGAATTACTGTGTTTTGCACGTTAATATATCTAAATACTCATCTTGCAACTTTGGAAATAGTAGTTTTATTTTGCAATGTCAATATAGTAGGTAATAGCTTTTGAGTTCTAGGCTGCTTTACAAAGATAAATTGGCTGCTCTGCTTAGACCAATGGTAAATTTAATTCCATTTGTGTTACACAGAGAAAGAGAAGAGAATCAATAGAATTTAATTGTGGCAGTTAATATAACTGCAGATGTACTGATGAGAGTATTTTAATGCACTTCTCTTTTTTTTTGTACCTGCTAGACCATTTAATTCTTTCCTAAATGAGTAATGCTAAGGAATTTATTTTACTTTTTTTTTTTCTTTCTCCACGGGGAATCCAGCATTCCCATACAAAATACAATCTTATACAAAGGCTTTCAGAGTTTAAATAGAAAATATCAGGACATTCTTCTTATACTAGATTTCTAAGATATTCTATTACTCCACATATCTTCCTAGTAGAAATCTTTAAAATAAATCTAGTGCTTCTTAGGCAACATTTCTGGCTCAGCAATTTAGAGGACACACTGTCTCAGTTATCTTTCTCAATACAAAAGCCTTTTTTTAAACATGGTATTTTTTATCAGAGTCTGGGGTAACCTCACAAGCTGCATAAAATAGGAAATGAGCCACACTGCGATTCGAGGGTGGAATTTATTTTTTTTTAAGTGGAAAGGCCAGAGGAAAAAAAAAAAAACAAACACAAAACCAGCACTGAACGGAATCTTACAGAATGGAGATTATTTACACTAAGTTCAATAGTTAATATAGAACAATGTGTAGATCACTGACGGAAAGCAAAAGCTAGTAAAGGAAAGCTGGGGAGTAGAAGTCTGCTTCCAGTGGCCAGCCTGCCCCTTAGCTGTCAGGGACACTCTTCACTTACACCTGCACCGTCATCTTGCTGTAGCTGTGATGACTGACTGGCTTTGCAACCCATCAAAGGCTGGTGCTGGGAAGCACTGGTTGGTTCCTTGGACGTGGGGCAGACAAGGATTCAATCCTTTATGCCTTCTGCCCCATTTAAGCCCAGCAGAGGTGCTGTTGCAGTTTTAACAGCACCTGTTGTGAATGCCACTTGCAAAGCAATGCTAAGAGGAGAGTAGAGGAAAAAGAGGGAGATCTTGTTTTCCCATTTCCTTTTGAACAGTGGGTTACAGCCTCAATCCAAGCAACTCATTTCCCTTCCAAATCATGTTTGGAGGCAGAGCTGAGAACATGCCACCTCCTAGGAGGCTTTTCTAAATGTGTTACTTGAAAAAGTCAAAGATGATAGATGTTGTCAAATCAAAAACTCAAATGTTAGGATGTGAAGGATTACTGTTGGCTCTACAGCTGTTCTTTGGTCCCCTGTGCTGTGAATCCACTCTCAGGCAGCCCTCAATTAAGTGCTCACCCATTGTTTTCCCAACAGGGACTTTTATCTAATTCGGTACACAGAATGCAAGGTGCCCACTCAGTAAGAATGTGTTTAATCCTTTGTTTTATCTGCACCATACAGTGAATATTGCCAGCTGACGCACATCGCTCAAATCTCACTCTGAAGGTGGAACTGTTAACTTTATAAGGAGCTTTATAGTGTTAACATACATCAACATACCATTTACAGGCATCCCTATGAGGTAACATCATCTCTGTGAGGTGGGATAGTGCCCTAGTAGGGATTCAACTGAGGGAAGGGACCCAGAGAGTCTGTATAAGGCTATTTGAAGTTAGAAAGTTCTTGTCGTTGTAGTTATTTAGTGTAACCATTACTTAGTACTTTCTATAGTCTAAACTGCAACCTTCCTATTCTTTTCTGTTGTAGTAAATGCATAGGCTTCTGCGTAATCAATCACTGAAAAGATGTAAACCTGAGTATTGGCAAAGTGAAAAGTTACTGTTATTAACACCTGTTTTAAGTAAAACAGGAACAGTATCAGCAGCAGATACAAAACATTTGTTGGGCAGAATTCAGGGACTTGACTCATGTTTTGTACCAACAGACTCTTTTAACAATTCAGGTGCCAAACTGCAACTGCCTTGACTTTTTGGAGCACGTGCAAACCATAATTAAACCATAATTACGGTCAAGTTAAGGTTTTTGTTTTGTTTTTAAACAACAAAAGCGTGTGAAGGAGCCTATCTGTGACACACAAGCAACCTATCTGCAAAACTCCAAGTTGCAGCACTGCAGCGTGGGGCTATTCAAAATGCTTGAAAATCCATGCCCATGTGTTTGAAAGGAAGTTAGTGAGTAATGTTAACATTTTTTTTTCAACCTGTGAAGACCGATAACATTTTGCATAATCTTGTTCTTGGGAGGTTGCTTAACCATCTTTCTGATACTTTCCCAAAAAGCTACAGTGAAAAAACCAAGACTCAGGGAAACACTGAGCATGGAAAGCTTCAGTGTGTGCTTAAAGCTTGGCAAAATTGAAGTCATGGAGAATATGGGGTGCCAGCTTTCATTGTAACAAAGCAGAGTTGAGAGGGATGGGGACCAGTGCAGACTCCACAGCTGGGAAGTGGTGTGAAAGGAGCCAGCTGGCAGCGCAAGGTATTTAAGCTGCCCTGGCATCTGTTAAGATCCTGAGGACTTGGAGATGCTGGGATAGTATTTGGGGTTTGGCCCTAAATCACAGGACAATTATTAAGCGCAAGACTGAACAGCAGCCTCAGCATGTATGTTTCTTGCAGAGGCATGTACCAGTTTATTTAATTGTCCAAAGTTAAATGCCAATTTTGAAGAGAAAAAAATACAATACTTACTGGAAGTCCTGAAATGTCTGAATATTTCTTTGCAGGCTTAAAGGATGGAGGAGCGTCAATATTAAAGTCTAGGGGGAAACAAAAGGATAAGTTCAGTATACTACATACATTTTAAAAAGAAAACCCAGAATGTGAAGAGAGAACAAATATTTAAAACAGTGGGTTTGATTTGAGGTATCTGTTAAAGCAGCACAGAACCGTGAAGCAGAATCACCTCTGAAAACATTCAGCCTGGTAGTGCTGTAAGGAACAGCCTGATTCTGCTCACTTCAGTAATGCAAGAGTTCAGTAAACAGAACTCCATTCTGTTCCATTTTTCTTTTTTTCTGCAGAAGGAAATGCAATACAGCTATTTAAAGTGTGCTGATTTCCTCCAAGTCTGAACGAATTCCCTTGCAGTCAGTTGCAGAGAATAGCAGATAGCCATTACTGCACACATGCTGTATGTTAAGACCATGAAACACTGCTCAAGATTCTAGCTCTGAAATGCTGTAATCCAGAAAAGCAACGTAATCTTTTAAATCAGCTAAATCTTTAAGCATGTACCACTTTAAGCCCAGTCAATGACCTAGAAAATTGTCTGAATGTTTAAATTAACTGATGGAAATTGCTGTTCTCTGATGCCTTTTAGATACCTAGTCTCATTCGTGAGATATGAGTGTTTAAGATATGACTGGCATGGCTAAGTAGTTAAATTGCTGATTTTCAATGTTTACAAAACTATCTGGTACCCGGCTCATTTCTCTACTCCTTACTGAACTTCTTTGCAACTCATTTGGCTGCTATGATAAATTGAAACTCTCCATCCATGTCAAATCATAGTCCCATAATCCAAAAGACATTAATTGTACGGACAGCTGTTCTTAAATATGCAAGTGAATTTCTTTTGCCACCCTCTTAAAAAAGCCCTTAAATTTACTGTTGCAAATAACAGCTAATAGAAATCAGCAGTCTGTGGGCTACAATAGGCAGGCACACACAGTAGCCTACACTCTTCTGTAACAGCTGCATCTAAAACACTTTAAAAAATGTCAAGTTATGACAACATGTATATGCACCTGCCCAATTCAGAGATGCCTCTAGTTGCTTGAATGAAATCTGAGGAACGAATTCTACCTCCAGTTAAATTCAATAATATCATACTTTACAACTTGCCTTGAAGTACATTGAGATTAAAAGTAGTGCTTTAGTTCTGCTCCTGTGGTTTTACGCAAGCTGGCTGTAATCTGGAGTGCTAATAGTGTTGTCTGAACTGTGCTGAACTAAGTAGGGGATGTAGGACTTAAGTCTTCCAAGAATCTGGGTAAGGAGCTGGATAGAAAGCTTGGGCTGAGGACTCTGCTACCATGTGTATGTGGCTAGCAGAATCTCACTTGATAATAGTTTCAACAGAGCTAATGAAGCAGCAGCTACTGGTGTGCAGATATACCTTCATGAGACATGCAGGCAGCTCCTCAGCAGAGAAGAGGTGACAAAAACGCAATGGGAACAAGAAGTTTCTAACCTGGCTCTGATAAATGCACTTCTCACATAGAACTCATTCCCGAGATGTATCCAAACTTCTTCACAACACTCCGAATCATTTTTGTCACCTTACTTTTCCCTTGGCCCTTGTGTGATCAGGCTAGTCTGAAATGGACCCCATTCAAGCAGGATACTGCATTCACTGATGAAACAGCTCAGGTTCACTTTTTAAAAAGTTATTTGTCTGGATTTTATTATTTATAAATACAAGCAAAGCGTCTAAGCAGCTTACAGCTAGGATCATTTAGTTGCCATGGCAATGCCCTTTCAGAAGCAAGAATTTGTTTTAGGTTCTTCCAAGTTCTGTTCTTCTTGCCAGCTGCTGCTCCACCAATGCTGGAGTGCTAGAATTAAAAATAAGATGTTCAGAGAAAAAATAAAGAATACCATTTCAGAGCATGATACTTCTACTTCATAGTCTTTTAGATACATCTCACCTTGTAACGAACCATTTGTTATCCTCACTTATTTCATCAGCAGACTAATATACTGTACCCTTTAATCTTAGTTGCAAGAAAAACAAAGACTTTTTGGACCATGTCAAAGAGCTACTATATGTTTAGGATTAACTGAGGGAAATGAAAATCTGCTTTTTACAGGGAAAGAGAAAATGAATGTGGTTAGGTTTAGCCTGAGATTACAGGATTCTGTATGCAATTCCCATCACACTAGAACGCATACTATGAACTTGTGTCTGAAATTGTGATTACACGGCTAAATTGTCTCTCCCTTTCTTATGGCACAGTACAGGTGCAGCTCCAGCTCGTTTGAGTAATCCGCGACTGTAGAAAACATAACTGAGCTTGCAAAATGTAATGAATGATATGAGAAGCTTTTTGGAAATTTTATTTTTCTTTCAAATGATAGAGGGATAGAAAAGGAGTAATAAATGGAATACTGGCTGCTGAGGCAATTTTGCATTTTGAAAGCTATGCTCGCAGAAGGCTTGCTGCTGGTGCTATAGTGCTGGTTTCGCTTACTAAATGGAATGCGAAGTAATTTATTTATGCTCCTCCAGAGACAGAAGATGCACAATATACTGTACTTTTTCTAAATGATCAAAGGACACAGATTTACAGCTTTATTTCAGAACAGAAACTGTTCTCAGAAGTGGGGAGTTGTAGTTATCGCAGTTAATAATTACTACCTGCCACCTCAGTCTCATCAAAACTCAGCAAAGTTCTTTCTGCTAATGCACTTCTGCTGTGATTAGTTTATAAATTAGGCTGCTGAACTGCTGAGAATGATAGCAGAAAGGATTCAATGAGAAAGCTGTTTTCCATAGATGTAAGATATATTCAGAAAAAATGTTCATGAGCTGTTGATGTATCTGTTTTGGCAATGCACATCTACTACAGAAAGTACGTGCAAACGTTGCTCTGAGAGTAACACCTTAGTAGCAGCCACTGAAAACAGGCTGTTGCAATATGAGATGGAAACAGATATACTAGCACGTTCCTAGTTCAAATTCATTACATGAATTTTCCCCCCAAATCATTGCACAGCCATTATTTTTCACCCAACCTCAGCAGGCCACAAAGTTTTGCTACTGGTTTGAGTCTCTCATCCATAATGAAAAGAAAAAGGAGGCATTGTCCTCTGAACAGTTAACCAGAAGTTCAATGCTTACAGAGTAATCTCTATCATGTTTCTGTGTAACACCTGTTTAAAGGTATGGGTGAGGCCAATAAAAAGCAAGCACGTTAAGAGAAGGATGATGTTTCACTTGTTTTCTGTTGTTTAAGGTAAACTGGGCTGGAAGAAAGTAATCCAAATTGTTGTTAACAGTTCATACAGACAAAAGGCCAGTTAAACCTCAATACATTTCTTCTCAAATTATTGACTGTATTCAGGATGATGACATTTTATTATAACTGCCTATCAGTGTCGAAGCAGTTGTTAAAGGCCCCGTACATTCACTACAATTTCAAGCATGCAAACTTCTGCATTGCCTCCTCGGAAATGGGGATGTCCCTCTAAGAATTGAAGGCTCAGCATGCCTTAAGGCAATTTAAATCCTATAGGGAAGCTACTGGAGTGCCCCTGGGCACAAATGGAGCTTTTCCACTAAACCCAGTTTCCCAGAGATGTTCACTGGAGAATGAGCATGAATCAAGAATGCAGTTGTTTCCTTGACTGCTCTTCTTGTGATGGAAGTCTGTAAAGCAGGCACATAGCAACTTGCAAGTCAGAGATGAATTTTACACCCCCTGCCAAAGCCTTGCTTAGTGAGCAGTGTGAAGCCTGATTACTCAGGTTTTATGCTGAGGATATTGCCTCTTATTCATACAAAATTAAATCTGGGATAAAATCCTACTTTCTAAGTACTGGCTTAAGACCAGCAGTCTGAGAAGTTTGCTTGCCTAGAAAGCATTAGTACATTGTGCCAGTGAGTTGGCCCTGGCAGAGCAAGATATTAAAAACAAACCCAGCAGTGATAGCATGACTAGCTCTAGCCTTTCTTCGACTTCTCCCCCAATTTCAATCTCACATTGTTTTAGCAGGCTGTATTTCATCAGCTGTCAGGGTTCACACGATTTCTGAACGCTGGAAGACAAGGTTTCTGGGGAGCACACAACATTTGCTTCTAAATCTAGCAATTACTGCAGGCGCAGACACCACAGGTCTGTCACAGTTTCAGGGAATAGGAGAGGAGCAAAATGCCAGCCACTAATGACTAGGTGGCTGAGTTTCAGTTCAATTATTTTGCAGCTTCCCCAGGTTAGGATCTAGGAGGTGGGATTTCTACATGTACAGTGGTATAAATAGTGCCTTCTAGTTCTGCTAGTTTGTGAGATACTGCACCATAAGACTTCCTCACCTACCTTAATCTAGTAAGTTCTGTTCCAGAATGTAATACAGTAGTTCTCCCTCTGAAAGATTGCCACTTTCATGTTCTAATATGATGTGTACTTCAGACCATAACGTGCCGTGGACTCGAGGTGAGTTACTAAAGAATTGCCCATCTTTTACTTGGCTGTAAAGCTGACTTTCTTAATATTTACATTAGCAATGTGGTTAAACAGAAATCTAGGCAGGGTTTTATTTGAAGAGTTTAGAATTTCAGACTGTTCGTATACTTACAATGAAGTTTGGATCTTTAAATGGTAACGGCTTGACGGCTGTTTCCACTGATCCTGTGCTGGAGTCTGTGTTCAGAAATTTATTTTCATTCATGACCTCTCCACCTGCACTCTGAAAAAAGAACTCAGGCTTACTGCTTGTTACTGCAAGCAAGTTCAACCAAAGGCTGCACATCTGCTTTATTACCAACCTGTTGCTGTTCAGCCTGTTTCTTTTGAATCTTTTAAAGATGCTGCATGGCAATGACAGCAGTGGGGATGTATGACACAGCATTTGTCGAGTACTTTACAGTGACATATAAAGAGGAGAAAAGGAATAGAGTGGCTGAAGGCTACTGGCTAAAAACAGCATTGGTTTGATTTCAGTATTAATGAAAGCCATCTCTATGAAGTGCAAGACAGAAATGTGAAACCAGAAATAGCCCAAGTGTGTGCTGGATGTATCAGAGTGTTCAGCATTAAAGCACTGATAGTAACAAAGATTATAACGTTTATAAAGAGTTGTTTCTTTTCAAGATTCTAAAGAATAACTGAGGAATCAGTTTATTCTGCATCCTTGACTTCGGTCATGCTTGAGCAAGGATTGAAGGGAAAAAAAAAGATTTTATTATATGTATTATTTTTATAAGCAAACCTCCCAAAAGCTACATGGATACTGGTAGGTGTTCTCTAGGCTATTCTCTATTGCTTATTTATTCAGCAGGAAGAGCAGTGGGAGAATGTGTGTGATTGGAAAGCTAAGAAAGTTGTGTGACAGTCCAACCGATTTCTGATATTTCTACATGGCTGATTCTGTGCTGTTCTTTTATGAGCACCCTACAAGTCTATGCTAACCAGAACGTGCTCACTCTACATACTTAAATGTGCTAGTGAAATCCTGATCTGTATTGAAGCCAATGAGAATTCTGCCACAGAGTCAGTAGTTCAACCAATACGATTTCATACTTTGATTCTTTTTTCTTAACGAACAAAAAGCTTCACTAAAAGCTAAATCAAGATTTACTGAACGGATGTTTAAAATGTTTCTCTGCCTTTAGATAGATAATACTTAAAACAAAAAAAGTTTTTCCATGAAAATCTGCGCTGCAAAACTTTCTGTGTTAATACATGCTCTTAAGTAGGAGAAACAAAAGGATCATTATTATTAGCGAATATGGGAGTATCATTAGAATTTGGGACTACACAGCAAGGTCCTCGAGCCAGCACAGAATCACAGAATGGCTTGGCTTGGAAGGGACCTCAAGGATCATCAAGTTCCAACCTCCCCCATCACAGGCAGGGTTGCCAGCTGCTAGATCAAGTACTAGATCAGACTGCCCAGGACCCCATCCAACTGGCCTTAAACACCTCCAGGGACGGGGCACTATTCTCTCTCAGTAAAAGAACTTCCCCTTGAAATCTCATCTGAATCTCCCCTCGTTTAATTTAAAACCATTCCCCCTTGTCCTATCACTATCCACCCGTGTAAAAAGTTGATTTCCCTCATGTTTATAAACTCCTTTATAAATTAAGCATGTCCTTCTCCATGTGGTTACAGAGGAAGTGTTTGTATTCATAACTACACGCATAAGTAATTACAGGATTAGGAACTATGCGAGCTGAACTCTAGTTTGGGGAAATACATCAGTTACTCAACATACTGTAATACAGCAAAGAGAGCTCTTACATATTCAAAGAAAAGAAGCTGTCAGGTAAAATGGTCACGTATCTAACATCTTATTAAAATAAAATATATGAATAGGAATGACCTGTTTTCAAAACCACAGTTGGTACTTTGTAAGCCCACGCTGCAAGGGATACTGTCATAGTAACAGCAGGGAAGGAACACTGAAGCCTGCAGCTAAGATCTGATTCTTCCCTTGCTGAGGACAATATCAAAAGGCAATGACTGTCACAGAAACAAAAGAAATGCAAACGGATGTTTATAAACTGTGTTACGTGAATGAGCAGAGAAAATACTGTCTTACTCAATCCTGAATAGAGTGACTTTATACAACATGTTGCTAGACTTCCGTGTTCTTGCAAATGCACGCTTCCAGCACTTTGGATTTCAGCAGTGAATGTTACTTTACTGTTAATCTTGAGAAAGACAAGGCTTGCTATACAAGATTATTTTTGATGAATAAATTACCTCTGATACTGTTCATCAGCAGTATAAATTCTGTAACTGGAGGAATGAGTGCTCACAGTTGCTCTTCAAAGCCTTTTTTCCTTTAACTTGGTATCATTTGGTCTGTCTTAAATCCAATCCTGCAGTTTCTAATTAATTACTTCATTACTTTTGCCACTTCGGTGATCTACTCCTAAATATTCCACTGTTTATGAAACAGGTTTCAAGCAGCATTTGAACAATGTCTCATAACAACATCTAGCATTTTGAGACAGAGTAAACATAAATGGATAAACAGTAAGGGGCAGGAAGCATCCTTGTACACTCAGTGCTTAATTTCAGTGTACATATTACACTTGTGTCCTCACTGGGTTGTTCTCTGTGGGTTCAGTGCTAATCTTGCTGGCATGCTGGGCAGGAAAGCAAGGAACTGTTCCTGGCAGAACAACTCACAAATGTAAATTTGACATGTAGTTTCTTTTCCAGACCACCTCCTGAGGGATTTCAGGTATTAGTGCCACTAAGAGTCAGGATAACTGATGCTGAGGTTGTGAATTTTGCTTGTGCACAATGGCAGAGGCAGCAGGTTCTGGAGCAGCAGGTGCTGCTTTCCTGGCCCCATGAGCCCCCACGTCATCACCTGGTCCCACTGGGGCAGAAGCAGAGCAGTAGCTTTGGGATCTCTCCTAAACAACGGGAAAGCAGTGGTTCCCTCTCCAGTTCCTCTCCTAGGTAAAGGGGCAGGCTGGTGTGCAGGACTGCACAGCAGTCTGCAATTGACAGCACAATTTGGGAGCCCTGTACAGACTGGAAAGCAAATAAGATTGAGTATTGTGATCCCAGTTAAAACGCAGGGAACTGAGATAAAAGACATACTGTAGAGGCATGCCAGTTCACTCAGTCAGCACTGCTTGCATGAAGACTCCGATTTATAGCAGTAGCACTATGGAGGGTTGATACTCAGCAAATGTGCTTTTCTTTCTGGAAGAGAATTAAAGAGTTCAACAGGAGCACTGCTTCCAGAACAACGTACTGCTGCACACAGCTCCAATGCAGCCTGCAGCTTCCCAGCTGATACTTTCAGCAGGTTTTCAGCCCTGAACTGGAAGTGTCTGAACAACCTACAAATTGTTGTCCAGCCTGTTATAAAATGTTGGGATGCAAAGCTTAAGAAACATGATTTATTGTTTCAGGTTTTCGGTGCATTTTTTTTAAAGCTTTTACAATGCCAAGTGAATTTTAACCAGTGCAGATCTACCACTGCAGACCTTTATACTGCAAAAACCCATCCTTTGTGAAAGTAAATAACACGCTGACAAATGCAATACATTATTTAGGGCCTGAAAGAAGATTCCTCAGTGAACAATTACTGTGAAGTAAATGTAATCTTTATCTTTTAACATAAGTTGAGCAAAACTCTCTAAGCTGCGCTTGTTTGCGTGGTCATTTTGTTTGTAAGATACCATTCATTCTTCACTGTCATATGTTAGGGAAAAAAAAACAGGAATGAATTCATATTCCCTTTGTATCCTATCAAAGGATCACAGTCTCATCAGCGCAGTGAGGAAGCGCATGTCAGTGGGGAACATGTACTGCTCAATGTGTGCTGTAACCCTCAGTCATGTGCAGGGGAACTTCCCCTTCCTGTGAAATTCACAGCTGTTCTTCAGCACATTTTCACTACCCGGCCAGCTACCCTCTGCCCTACAATAATCCCAAATGCTTTGCAGTGAGGCTGGAAAGAAAGCACAACCGTGGGCTAAAACTCTTCATAGCGGTTTTAAACTTTCTCTTTAACTGAAAAAAAAAGTGAAGGTGTGATTGTAGTACAGCTGTGATTGTAATACAACACTTACATTAGTTTACTCCAAATTAACAATAAAAAATGCCATCAGTCACCGCATTCAGTCATTCATGCCTTCTCATCGACCTTTCCCCTGACTGTCAGTCTCCATGGGTGTCCGTGCTGCCACCTCTTCCCAAGTCCCATTGGATATCAAGAAAAAACTTCTTTACAGAAAGGGTTGTTAAGCTCTGGAATAGGCTCCCCATGGAGCTGGTTGAGTCACTCAGATATGTTTAAAAACCATCTGGATGTGGTACTTGGGGACATGATTTAGTGGAGGGTTGTTAGAGTTACGGTGGTATGGTGAGGTTGTGGCTGGACTTGATCATCTTGAAGGTCTTTTCCAACCTGAGCAATTCCATGATTCTATGTCACCTCCCTCTGTTCTCCTCTGCCTCCGCTTTAGAGTGTCCTCATTACCAGGCACAGAGCAACCTCAACTGGAATTGCGTGCTTTGAAAGGTGGTAGGCAGCAGGTCAAAGACTTCTTATGGGACCACTTGTACAGTTTTATTCCTCCAATAAAATCGTGTTTATGTGCTTTAGCTGAATTTTAACCACAACCACAGCATGACAGGTTGGCAGCATATTTCACTATTAATAGATGTTACCCTTCTGGGATAGAGTGGAGCAATAGTGGGAAGTGTTCCTTCTGTTTTGCGATTCTTTTCCTAAGACTATCTATCAAGTTTTCAGTGCATGCCAGCTGGGTGGGATGCAGTTCTCTCTCCCTTCCATTACAGATGAGGACTGGATGACGGCCACTCGCTGAAGCTCAGGGCTTCGTGTCGCTATGAGACAGCAAAGGGTCTAGAAAAGAAAGACTTGTGGCAAACACTCAAGTCCTACATGTTTGTCTGGAGAACAGACCTGAGCTAAGCTTTCCTACCTTAGCACTGATTTCTTTTGAGTAAAGCCAAACCCCAGGAATGAGTCTAGCTTGGACCCTACTGCGTATGCTGGGAGAAAACTCACACTGGGAGGCTGCCTATTCGTATGCTAGTTTCAATCTTAGGTTTTGGTAGATCTGTTAATTTTTTTTCAATATATTCTGTTCCAAATTCCCTACCGCAGATGTATTGGTTTTCACATGATTTCCAAAGCGTGCTCCATCTGTCTGGTTTTAGTTAGGGAGAGCACAAGCAGAATTTGTAGA